TTTGTGAAAAGAAATCGGTGCTGTATATTGAAGATACGTCAGTATATCATTATTCAGGAGGATACACAATCCATTGGATACAAAAAGTCATGAATGCAGGGAAGCGTTTTGGCTATCATGCTCATGACAAGTTCCATGTTCGTGCTGGAAACAAAATTTTGAGTGAGTCAATTTCTAAACACATTTTCCTGTCTTACGTGGCAGTTTTGTAAATATTTATCGTTAGGCTTATAAGTTATTAGCCATTTAATATGTGTTTGTTGTTTTGACTAACTGTAAATAGACATACATTTTAAGAGCATCTAACTCAAAAACGTGAGCAGCCATGGTATTGCTATTTCGTACCCATAAAGAGGTTTAGTTGCTTTCTCTAAAGAACAAACTTGTGTTCACGTATGATATTTTTTGTTTGTGTAAGACGATAAAACATGTGTTGAAAAATTCATTTCACCGGCTACCGACGCAGGTAGCGGGAGGGCGGGTTAGTGACCTCTGGGTGACCGGCCCGCCGTGACCCGGTCACTCCATCGCCGATCCAACTAAAAGAGCGCTGTTTGTACGCCGTGAGCAGTGAGATACCTCTGTAGTTGTTGCAATCTCCTTTGTCCCCTTTGTTTTTGTAGAGTGTGGTGATTTTGGCATCTCTCATGTCATGTGGAATTTCTGCTTTCAGCCAACAAGTTGTTAGTAGCTTGTAGAGATATGGGAGGAGGGTTTCTTTGTTCTCTTTCAGCACTTCAGCAGGTATGTTGTAATTTCCTGCTGCTTTTCTGCAAGCGACTTCATCGATTGCAGAGGAGAGTTCTTCTTCTGTTGGTGTTGTATCAAGTTCTGACATTTCGGAAAGCTGAGGAATGGCCTCATGTAGCTGTCTATCAACATGTCGTTCCTCTGAGTATAAGTCTGAATAATGTTCCACCCATCTTTCCATTTGTTTCTTCTTGTCTGTCAGCTGTTCACCTGTCGCAGACTGTAGAGGTGCCACTTTGTTTGCTTTTGGTCCAATAGCAACTCTGATGTTTTCATACACTTTCCTGATATTACCTGTATCGCTGGCCTGTTGGATTTCTGAGCATAACTTGTCCCAGTACTGATTGGCACACTTTCTGGTTTCTCTTTGAAGGTTCTCTCTGTTGGATTTGTGTTGTGTTCTATCAAGATCTTACGCTTTTTCTCGAGTAGTGGTGCGAGTGTTGATGCACTGGCTTCAACCCAGTCCTCCTTGCAAGGTCTTTCTATTCCAAAAGTAATCGACGCAGAATTATAAATTGTTGATCTCATGCTATTCCACATGTTGTCTGGGGATGAGCTATCTAGATGTTGGAGCTCTTCTTTAACATGTTCTTGAAATTTTGCCTTTAACGCTGCTTTTTTGGTATTTCTTATGTTGATCTTAGGTTTCTTTTGTTTTTCAGCTCTTGGTGTTTTCTTTGTGACTGTCTTTGCCTTCGCTATAACTAAAAGGTGGTCTGTGTTGCAGTCTGCACTGTAGAAGGATCTTGTTTGCTTTACCACGTTGGCATCTTTCTTTCTGAGGATGATGACGTCGATTTGGTGCCAATGGCCTGATCTTGGATGGCACCAAGAAGCCTTGTGTCTGTCCTTGCCACTGTAAAAGGTGTTAGTGATGCCAAGGTTGTTATTTGTGCAGAATTTTAAAAGTCTCTAACCATTCTAGTTGATTTTTCCCAGCCCAAAAGGTCCAAGGCAGGTTGGCCATACTTTGTTTTCAGTACCTACTCTTGCATTGGAGTCGCCCGTGAGAAACAGTTGGTCTGCTTTTGGGACATTGTTGATTGCATCCTGAAGTTCCTCGTAAAACTGGTCTTTTTTCTCATGTTCTGTTGTTAGGGTTGGGGCGTAGGCGCTGATGAAGTGAGCCTTTCCAGTTTTGGTTTCCATTTCCATGACAATGATACGTTCGGATATACCTTGGGGGGGTGCTGATCCTGTTCAGCAACCTGTTGTGTACTGCAAAGCCCACACCATGGATTCTCCTCTCATCTTCCCCAAGACCCTTCCTGAAGAATGTGTAGTTTCTTTCCCTGATGGTACCAGAGTTAGCAAGTCTTGTCTCTTGCAAGGCAGTAATGTCTACATTGAGTCGTGTGAGGTCCCTGTCTATGATTGCTGTCTTTCTGATGTCCTCTGTTTTCCCCAGGTTGGTAGTGTCCAATCCGGTTGTCATTGTTCTAACATTCCAGGTCCCCAGTTTCCATGGGGTTAGTTTTACTTTTTTTTTGGCCTGGTACTGGTTTAAAGTCTGCCTTTCGGTTTTTGTCCTAGCTCCATACACCCATAGAAGCAAACAGACGTGGCGGATCAGCATCTTACTGACTGGGGGCTGCCCAGCTTGAGACGGGCGGTAGCTGATCAGTGCGACTGAATAGTCACTCCCATCGTCAAAGGTGACCCGTGGCGACATCCTGTTTCGTCAAATAAGGATGTCTTATAACCCGTAAACTACCACCTCCCGTGTTTTTTCCCTTGCTCTTCATATCAAGGATGAAGTGTCCTCTCCATAATCATATAAATGCTGTTGTAGCTGTGGTTGAGCTGTGGGTCTGATCTGCCATGTTTGCTCTTTTGCAGCGTCCTCCTAGAAGTCTTGAAATCTTGACTAAGCTAAATGCCTAGGTTTGGCTATATGGAGAACGTGCCTTGCCCAATTTGCTCGAACCCCCTCTCGACTTAGCTGATTTAGTCCTAAGGAGAGACGAGGTCAATACATTTGGAACCAGTAAAGTTGCAGGGGCTGCCAGAAGATAGTTTGGATCGTTCCTCCCTGTCGAATGCCTTAGGGGCCCTCCCTCCGGATTTGTTTAGGGTTTACTCCCTTAACCTTTCATACTCCCATATGCACCTACAAGGCAGTAGGAACAGTTGCAGGTAGTACCATCTACTGTCATTATGGTAGCAGCACTAAGGCTGACCTGTATACATTATAGCCACTAAAATTGTCACAAATCAATTATTTTCCAGAAAATTTCAAAACAGGGGGACACGCTCACGCTCCCGCTGTAACCCCCCAATCGGTCTGAAATGTGTAAATTACTGTGCAAGTAGGCTTAGTCAACTTAATGTGATAAAATGTGATCTTTAAAAACCATCTTATATTTCAAAAAATTATTTATTTACGATGGAAATAAAGTTGATATTTGTATTCAGCGCATCAATATATAGTAGAAAATGGACATCTAGTAGCTAAGTGTGAGACGGGAGGGAAAGTAAAAGAATACCGTGATTTTGCTCAACCATAAACTTTTATCTTGGTTGGCCTGGAACGAATCTAACTGAGTCAGGTCAAACTTGGTTCTCCCCCTGTCGAAATTGCCGTCTCGCCCTATTGAATTTGCACCGCCACCAAAATCATGTCACCCCATCGTTTAAATAAACCACCTATTTTTGCAATGGTTTTAATTTTAATGGTCATAGATCTAGATCACTATATTGTGTGTTTTGCAGCTAAAAAGACAGCAGTGTCAGTGGTTCAGCTTCTAAAAGCAGTGCATGAAGCATGCAGGTGTGAAAGTAAATTTTACGATGCATCCTGTAAATGTAAATAGATGGGAATAAGCTCAAGTGAGTTAATTGGCGGCTGGCCTGACTTCCGCTTTGAGGTTGTGCTGAGGGTGCTAGGCAGGGTTGACAGACCTGCAATTTTATGTTTTGTAATGATAAAACAGCACCAGTTCCTATAAGAATAGGCAAGTTCAGTGAAACAAACAGATGATTGCATAGAGAGGAAGGCGCATTTTTGATAGTATGATTTTTAAAATCTCTGATAGGATAGCCCAGTGAGAAATGGGGAAAAGTTTGCTTCTAGCATTGATTGGTTATCACATACACACAGCTCACTGACAGCTTAAGGCTAAATGCCCTATGTTGTCAGTTTACTGAAAAAGAAGTGAGTTGTGAGCAACCCATCTGCCTTTGATAAACTGGTTCTTGATAAGTTGGGCTTGCCGGATAAAAGGAGTTAAAAGTTAAAATTGGTGTAAAGCTGATAAAAGTGAAAAAGGAAAGTGTTATTGAATCTGAACATGAGATAGGTGTTAATGTACAGTAAAATAATACCAGTTTGAGAGTGTACTGCTTTCAGTAAAGAATTCAGTACTGTAAGTATGAAGTAGTATGATCGCTTTTAAGGACAAGCGGGCTTACCCAGATTGGGGGGGGTTCAGAAATCTTGACCTACACCAAAAGTGGGTATTGCTTTACCTTTAGGAGAAGTTTGGTTTCATTGGTGTGTATATTTGTTTGGTTATAGAGAAAACTCTCCTTGTCTTTTAAAGAAACTGAACAAGGGACAAAAACTTTACCTTCGATTTTCTCACAAACAACATTTTTCGGGATAGTCCCATTGTCCTTAAAAGCGACCATATATATACAATTGAATCTGCTCTAAATGATCACCTTCTATATTATATGACTATATTATAATGACATTCATCTGTACAAAGTGTCAATACCCGTCACCCCTTGCATTTTTGTTTTATTATAATGGCACTGTGTGTCTTAGAAAAGCAAGTTTTACTGTTTTCGATTTTGCTTGGTGGACAAACTGAAAACTCTCCATCATCATCATCATGATACACATGGCGATCGTAGATATAGACCCATCATTTCTTTTACTTTTTCTATCAGTCTTCAATATCTGCCTAATCTATAATAGCCTACAGCATTTTGTCTTCATCTTTAGCATATGAAAAGTTAGATGTTAAAATGTGATAATTTTTTTTGGCAATGAATCTTTGCTAGCATTTGTGTCCTCATTGAAAGCTTGTTAGTCATGCCTCAGTTGTGTTTGAGCATTCAGCGCCCCCTCCTTAAGCTGAATTTCTGGGAGAAGTTCCTTAAATTATTATCATCCACTGTGTATATTGGAGAGTTTGAAGGATAGAGAAAGATTTTATCTGCTATCATGTTGGTTTTCACCTGAGTTTGTGATGTTGATAAATAATTGTCAGTAAAAACAAGGGTTCATTTTATAATTTCAGCTGTTTGCAAGTCCAGGCAAAGTACACTTGTCCAAGATGCAACATCAATTACTGTTCATTGACATGTTACCAGAGTGAAAAACACTGCTCATGCTCTGAGGCTTTCTACAAAGAATGTGTTATTGATGAGCTGAAGGATTTTACCTCCACGTAAGTTGATTACTGTTAGGATTAGGATTACCACAGTTTTGCTCATTTTAGTTTCCCCCTACTAATTCTTACGGGTAATTGTTGATGACGTCACAGCTTACATTACTAATGGTCTGTTTTGCTAGTTCAACATCGTTATCCCCAAATTTCAGTTGGAAGATATTTTCAAAAGTACTTCCAGGTATTTAAAGATTTTAAAATTAACTAGAAGAATTTCTTTTGTGTTTGATAAGTTAACCTATAATTTTGCAAGAAAGACCACCTTCAATGCCTGCTCTTTTTAGTCTTTCAACTACCTAAGCATTCTATTGTATGTATCAAATTCTGTGCACTATGAGACCTCTTAATTTTTAGTGCATGTTTTTGATATTCTCTAGTCTTGAATCAGGGACATGAATCTGAACAAAAAATGATTTGTCACCAACCATGACTGCGTTTTAATCTTGGATCAAACCAGGCACTTTAAGCATGAGGGAAAACCCCCATTCTTCATGAATAACTGGCCTCCTAGTCTCTGTCTGTAACCATAATTTATATCACAGCACTGTATCTGTGAATGGTTGGTGGATGCTCTGGCGTGGTTTGTTTCTTCTTTCTTATGAAATATCTATTTTCCCTATCTCTCCCCTTATCTTTGTGTATATTGCTCCCTATTTACACCTCTCATCATCGGCACTGTATGACCTATGTGTGTTTCAAAGGTTGTAAAACTCTTTTGAAAACTAAAACTTATAAAAGACCCTCCTGCCCCCCCCCCCCCTAAATTAAGCACTGTATCTTCTAATTCAGTTTCAATTTTTTACTTTTATTTTCAGCAAACATAGTAGATCTATATATAGCAGGACTACAATAAAATGAAATGCTGTGAAAAAATAATCTTTGTTGTGTATTAATTTACTGTTTTCTTGATGTCTTTCCTTGTTGTTGCTCTGCAGGACAGAAGATAGGGAAAAAGTTCTGGAGATGTTAGCAAAAGACTTGGAAGAAAGAACAAAGGAAGCTTCAGCTGAAGGTATCTTGTTGTTCTCACTCATTTAGATCTATGCATGTAGGTACAGTTGGATGGCTCCAGTACAGTTGTTGAGAAGTGAACAATTTTGCCTGTTTTCATGTTCCCACTTTTCTTGTGTGTAAATATCACCATATTCTTTGGCTCTTTTTCTAGCAAAATAGGTCTCACTAGTGTTATAAAATATGCTTAGTAGACATGGGTATTACAATGGTTGGCACTCATGAGATTGTGCCTGTTGCTGGCTAATAATTCAGATGTTGTTTTGGACGAGCTGTGTCTGGCTATGCATTGTAGTTGTAGAGTTAGAGTCTTAAATGAAATCTATGGATGGCTTTTTGAGCTGGGATCCAGGTGAGAATAACTCCTTGGCTCAATACTGTAGTGTACTGAGTGCTCCAAGTAGTTTCGCGGAAGGATTCATGCAAAATAATTCCAAGCCGATGACTTTATTCTAATAGTAGAAAAAGAACGGTTCTTTCTATTGGAACCTTTTTTTAGCCGGTATTTTACACATTTCGTGTTTAAAATGATCTTTGAAAACTTAGACGCTTTTTTTCAAGGTTTTCTATCCAAACGCCAAAGGCTAAAAATACAAACCACGGGAAACAACGCTCAAAGCTGTACAGTTCTCCGCCAATGAAAAGACAGTATTTAATCATCAATCTTTCTGCAAAGCATTCGAATGCATGGTGTCAATTTTGAACCGGCCCACCTCGCATTCCGACCGCGTGGGGCTTCCCTTTCCCCGGCGATTCTCCAGCTCATACTCGGATTATAATATACAAACAACTTACCATATTTTAAAGAAGGAAATTTCAACTTTTTCAAAGTGTTCAGCATTTGGTTTTTTATAGCAAAAGAGCAAAGAAACAGAGATCTGAATTACCCCCATTTTACCGAAACCACGCGCTCGGAAGGCCGCGTGTCAGCTTACGTGCCGTGTTTGCGCTACCTAATTATACGTTTGCAATAGCACCATAAACACTTGAGCGCACACACACACTCACAAACACACACAAACACACACACGCACACACACACATACACACATATACGAACACACCGACACACATACACACACATGCACATAGACCGCCTCACCGGCCTCTTGGTAAGGAGTCCGCTATGAGAGATCTAGAGGAAGTTAATTGATCATTTCAAAGCACTAAAACACAATAAAAACGAATTTTAAAAGTCAATCCAAGTTTAAAACTGAAAGATCAACAGACGATATCAGCTAGCAGGGCACACCCACACTGTCAGCTGTTTACGTAAACAAGCTTGAAGTGAGCTGGAAGTGAGCTGGAAGTTTCCGTTTTTACTCCGTTTTACCAATCAGAGTTTTCTACATTTCAGACCATTCATGCTCGAAAAGGGGTCAAAACCTAAAAATAGTTGCGAATGAAGAATGTTGAAGCAAAGATACTGGAGTATCTTAGGTTGAAGCAAAGGTAGCCATGAGGTAATGATTCTAAAAATAATCTCACAGCTACACACTAGAAAGGTTCAAATTCCTTTATCTTGTCACCCAAGCTCACAACAAACCACACATACCTCCAAAATAAATAAAAATAAAATATTTATAGTCGATTAAAGTTGTTTATTTTTATCTTATATGAAGCAGAAGACGTCAACTTTCAATACATCCGAAAAAAAAATAATTTCATGGAAACTCCTTTTTTTGCCTTTTGAGCCTCGTAGCCGATAATATAATAGAACAGTGCGTCTTAAGACTGATATTGATCGGGGCAGACTGATATATAAGACTGATTTTTTCATTAAGAAATTAAAGGATAAGAAAAAGAAAAATACCAAAGTTCTTTGTGGATGATGGATTCTTGCTTTCAAATCCAGGAAAATATTCCCCTCGTTTTGACCTTCATAGTGTTGTAAATATGCTTAATGAGAATTGAATTTTGTAACTTTGCTTCATGTAGAGACAAAGCTTATGATGAAAAGGAATTGAAAACCAATAATTAGAGACCCTGGCATGACAAAATTCTATATTTCCAGAGGACTGAAAAGATTTCAAAGTGAAAAGCTGTTCAGGCATACACTATTACGCCTCAAACTACACTTTTTTTGTTTTTTTAAAATAAGAATTTGCAAATAGTATATTGTTTTCAGCTTTCGAGATCTTTCATTCCTCTCTGAATTAGTAACTTTTTTTTGTAACCAATCTCTTTTAATGCTTCCTTTGTGTTATCAATTTATCTTTTATTCTTTTCAGACAGTGATGAAGACCTCACAGAGAGACTTGAGGGACTGGACCTTGGTAAAATTCTTGGTTTAAATTTTTCTAAAATTTTGTGTTTTAGGTTTTCAGTCACCCCACATAAGAGTTATTCCCATATAAAACTACTCAGTTGCTGAGAAGGAATTGTGGATCTACAGTCCTTTAGGTAAAAGTTGGGAGTTCTGCAAGATTTGCTTTGAATGTCTTCAACTTTGAGATTTTCACATTTCGTTTTCTAGTTTGGGTCACACACCAGTTTTCATTGAATTTTAGAAAATTCTAAAATAAAGGAAACGGCTTTAATACAGGCTGTAATACTGGTGGATGTTTTGTAGACCTGGATGTTTTCAAGTAATTTCCGGCTATTGCAAAATGGGGAAATTTTCCAGCTAAAGGCTAATAAAGTACTCAAATTGGGTGCGAGAGTCGGTTGCTGGCTTATCGCCGACTCTGAATTCCACCCTACTTACGATTTGTGAATGCCGGCAATCAAAGCAGATATTTCAGCAATGATTGCCTGAACTAAAATAAAAATGCTTTAATTGAACAGTGGGATAGGACCATAAGTCTTTGGTTTTCACTAACTGTTTTGTTGAAGTTTGAAACTTCTTTCTTTTGTCAAAAAATTTCTCAGCATTCTCTTCACCTCGTATTTTATTTGCAAACATCACTAGGAATTTAATGCTACTGGAAGGCAAGTGTTCATGCTTACCTTTTTCTTTTATGAAGTATTTGATGGATATAGGAAGCTTTACTCCAAATTGTTTATTTTGTCTATCTTTTGGAGTCTGAACATGAAAGGCAAATTGACTACTTTTCAGACAGGGATGTCAGCACAGTGTGGAGTCGCTTGACTGCTAAGGAGAAGGAAGAGTTTGCTCGCATGCTGCAAGATGGACGACTGGCAAGACTAATTGAAGTCTGGACGCCGTGGTGGTTGATAAAAGTATGTTTGAAATATTTTTGGTGGAGTGATTTAGGTATGATTGAAGCTATAAAGGATTTATTAGATGATTTTATAATGTTTTAAGAATTTTTGAAAAAAGAACTTTCTTTTATTTGGTCAAAATTTTAATCTAAAATTGTAAGATATTTTCCTGCTGCTTTGTAGATAAAAGGAAAGAATATAATACATTGAATGTCGGGTGAAATTTTTAAAAAGCGGATTATATAAAAGTTGAACGTATACTGTAAAATAGCTTTGGGATCCAATTTAAAATGTGTGAAATAATTTCTGACCTCTCTTAATACTTTTTGTACTTTAAACAATTTGTTTGTTTTCCTCAAGGCAAATCAGACGCTCGTGAAAGAAGAGAGAGAGAAGAGAAAGGAACAGAATTCAAGTTCCGGAGTACCGGAAATCATGTCAGACATACCTGATATATCAAATATTTTGAAGGTAGTAGACAAGTGCTTGGGGTAAACAGCAATTTTCCACCCTTGTTGTAGTTATGCATTGCCTTTCTCACATATCAGAATCTTGATACTATTTAGACTCATGGTTTTCAGAAAATTTTGACATTGTAAGTACTTTCCATTCATAGATTTTGAATTCAATCTGAAAGTATTTTATCTGATCATTTTCAGTGATTTTTTCGTGCTACTCATGAAGAGCAACAGTACATTTTTAGTTAATACCTAGTTCAGGAATGGAAGTACACTTTCAAATGTTACAAAGAGAAAGCATATGTTTACCAAATCTGTCTCGTTTTCTTTTTGAAAGCATTGCTCTCTTAGTCTACCACTGTCAAGATCCATGCAAAGATATATCAATTTTAAAACTTATAATTGTCAGCTGTTACAAAACATTTGCTGTGGGAATCAGGGGCGACTCGTGGGGCTAAAAATTGTGGGTGCATAATTAAGCTATCGCAGGCTGAAGTTAGTCAAGGGCATAGTAAATGGGACGGTGTAGAATTTTAGGATCTTTGGGTTGGTGAGGGAGGACCTCATGCTTTTTAAAATGAATTCTTTCTGCTTGTCGCTTTGATTTCTAGAACGGAATTTGTTTGTTAGCAAAACATCAGTTTCGTTCATCCTGCATTAGAACTGAACACTCATGTAATAACTTTCACCCGTCCCCTACAAAACCATTTAAAGGCACAACTCACAGGACGTAGGATAGTGACTTAAGTATGTCATGTTCACCTCCCTCTTGTTCACGGTCACAGAGTCACATAAAATATAATAGTGGCAAAACAATGAACCAATCACCATTTGCTTGAGCACTCTGCTGGATAGCTTGGGGGCTCACATAATTGTGGCATAGATTATTGTACCGTCTATGGTGTTTAATTTTAGACTGCCTACTGTGTGCTATGTTTCGGCTCTATTAATCAGGTGCACATTTGAGATGTGCTGTCTTATAATTATTAATATTAATGTACCGCCAAACTCGCACGATTGTGGTCATTGCTTGGGTAATTCCAAAGAGCAATTTATATATATATGTGTATAAATAGGCCAGGTAACCACTGTGGAATATCCTATTATGTTTAGTTTAAGCGCATGGACTTTGGCATGGCATAATACATGTTTTACGGTGCTATAGACAGACAGTTACAGCAAGGATCTTGTTTTGATATAATATTTGGCTAGTGTTTGTTTCTGGCTTCTTTTATTTTATTATTGTAGGTGCTTTACGTAATAAAATATTTTTTAAAACTATGGGCGGCACTGCACGGCCGTGCTGTATGGAGGACGAACAGCGCCTGGTGGCAATGTGTCTTATGCAGTTTGCACTGAGCAGTTGTCACAGGGGTTTGATAATTGCAAGCTTTCCTATCATAGTTTGGTGGCCTGTCAATCCTTTTGAAATTTCAGTTCCATAGTCAGCGATGGCATGTATCTGGGAAAAAAATGTGGACACGGAAAAAAAATTTAATCTCAGCTGCATTATAAGACTATGTGTAAGATAAGTTGGAATCTGTTGGATTGACTTGCCGAGGCCCTCTTTTAATGATATGAAATATAAAATTTACATATATGATACTAAATTGGTCATTAAATCAAAACAAGTGAGCCTATTTTAACAGTTCTTCATCTAATGAATGAAATTCTGGGAAAAAGAGGCCTGCTTTTGGCAATTGTCGAAAAGTAATTTGACGTTGAAGTCTCTTAACTCATGCGAGGTTGTCACGAGTCGTGATACCGCGACTGTCCCTCCGAGGATATCGCGACTATAGTGAACACGGGCACCTGAGACTCAGTGTTGTGTATGGGACCACCGGAAACTAGTTAAACTCATTTCAAGGAATATTTTCCTTGTTTTGCCTACCCCAAACGAGAATATAGACCCAGATTTGGAATAGAAAACAGACAGTCTTGGAATTTGTTTACATCAGTTACTAAATCTAAGGCAGTATTAAGTAATTGAATCTGAAATGGCTGCAAATATGAATGTATGCAACTTGTTCAACGCATTTTATCGGGATAGTAGTGATTCAAGAGAAAATAGACTGCATTTCAATGCAAAAAGTGTGAGGTATATGTATAGCCCTCTGTGTCCCTGGTTGCTTTGAACTGTATCACTCACAGTAGGACTAGGAGAAATTGGTGGGTGACACCACATTAGCTAGCACTTGCACAGAGGCAAAGACACTCTGACAATCATACACATTAAATCTTGACAAGGTCATGTTTTTAGAATTTTTTATCTCGTGTTTTTTTTCTTCCCTCAATTTTTAGTTCAATAATGTTTGGTTCATATTTCTATCTTGAAAAATAATGAAGTTATAAACATTTTTCATGACCCAACCTAATTTTCATGAAGTTCTCAAATTAATTCGCCTCTGGGGGACCGGACAGTGCAAATTAATTGGCCTCTTGAAGGATTAAAAGAACGGGGCTGCCTAAATCTACCGATTATTCCGGTAGTTACCGATTTTGGGCCTGTTCTACCACCATACCGATAAAGGTGTCAAAACTGCCTGATTTGCGATGGATGCCGAAAGAAGAAAAAGAAAAAAAAACAATCTACAGTGCTTCCAATCTTCCTTGTTTTTGCAGAAATCCGCACGTTTACATGGATCCTTTCAGTGCTCGTTTTCTGGCTCTTCCTTTTGCAATGTTTGTAGGCCTGCTTGTGCACTTTGTTGCGTCTATCGCGATCCTCCGACAAAGTTCAGGGGTTGGGAAAATTTTTCACTGGGAGCCCTGGATTTGTGATGGATGCCGAAAGAAGAAAAAAAAAAAAAAAAAAAATCTACAGTGCTTCCAATCTTCCTTGTTTTTGCAGAAATCCGCACGCTCCAAAAGTTCCGTACTTGCCACATCATCATATCTACTCCATTGTTATAGAGAGAGAGGGAGAGGGAGAGGGGGAGAGAGAGAGAGAGAGATAGAGAGAGAGAGAGAGAGAGAGAGAGGGAGGGAGAGAGAGAGAGAGGCAGCTGCTGCTCCTGCTCCTGCAATCATAATTTGTTGGACATTTACGGCATAGTAAGTTGTATTAGAAACTGCCAGATTGCGCATTTCGTACACTCGACCATTGTCTATCTGTGTCGTTCGGTTGGCAATATTTTTTTCACGTGCATATCGGCTAAAATTTGTCTACTTACGATAGATAATCTTCCTCCTTCCTTTCATTCATTCATTCTTTCTGTCTATCTTTGGGGTTTTTGTTGCGACTGGAAAATCTGTTCATATTCATTTGTCTAGAAAACAGAATTGTGAATGTAGAAAGAAATCGGTATCAAAACGAAACATTCTCAAATTTGTGTTGGTCTAGAGAATTGGTCAGTACCAAATGAGGATTCTATGAAGGGGGACTGCGGGAATTAACCGGAAATCTGAAAAAAAATAATCGCGGAGACTCGAGAAGATATCCTCAAAACCAAATCTGAAAAGGCTGCTGAGTTTATAATTTACCGGTCGCATATTTGATACATGTATTACGTTCGGCTTTCCCCAGTCCAAGAGTGCGTTTCACGCGAATAAGCGGCTATGGTGGCAGGCGGCAGTGTAGGTGTAATACTGAGACTCCATCAGGAAAATCAAAATCTACGTTCGCTTTCGTTATCGTCCAGAATTGTTCGATGATAGTTTGTTAATGTTAGATTTATAGTTAATAAAAATTTGTCACGTGCTGTTTGTGCATATAAAACACAGTGTCGCCGTACTAATTAAATCGATATTCTCACGACTGATGTCACTATAATGACAAAAAATACAGAAAAAGAAAACAAGGATCCTCCGATTTCTACATTGTTAGGCCTGTCATCGTGACCGGTCAGTGAACCTGTGCGCGTTGACATCGTGTGAGTAAGGCATGAGTAATTGGCCGGCCGGCGGTTTTGGGGTAATCAAAGTTCATTTAAAGTAGGAGCGTTGCATGGCTTCGGAATTGAGGGGGTGGGGGGGATGTTTAAAGCAAGAAAGTCTACGGCAGCAGGACAAGGCTGCGGCGCAAGAAACTGATGCTAAAATAAAAGCGATATATGGAAGTAGTTTTGACATTCGACTATGGAGTGCATAAATAAGGGAACAATAGAGTACTGGCTTGATGATTGTATCTTCAAAATTGGTGTTCCCGCTTTTGTCGGATTTGACAATGATGACAAATTGAATAGTGACTATGAAGAAATGCCATTTTTCAAACCTCGGAAACCTCTATGTTGGATGCCTATTAATCATGATGGCTTGTTGCTGATTGAAAACTGATTCTGTGATTTAGCATAAAAAAATAAATAAATCAATACTTAGTTCATAATGCAGTGATTGCCAGTTTTTCAGTATCACTACATCCCACCCTCTCACAGTCCTTCCAGCTCCGGCTTTCAGTTCACGCTCTCTTTTATTGTCACTTTTTGCTCTGCCTTGAGCCTAACTATAAAGGCTTTATAAATAGGTTTTGTCTTGCATGCTTTTTAAAATCAGTGATTGTGGAGACCAAACATGGTTTTGTTTAGTTTTAGTTTTTGGCAGTTGATGTTAATCTTGCCTTTCCCCAGGCCCAAATCAGGATTCATTTAGTATTTTTAGATCAAAACTAGTTAAATTGTCTGTCTTACCCAAGTCACAAAGGACTTATCAAAGTGTCCTATGCTAGTGTCGAAAAATTTGTTTTAATATAGTTTCTATTGGTATGGGCTAGGGGTTTTGAAGTCAGTTTGGCAGTCACCCTGCACTCAATTTCAGATTCAATACTGAATATTAGCTGCCTTGAATGATAGTCTATAAATGCTTAATCAAAAGAAAAAATAACCCCCCCCCCCCCTGAAAAAAAACACACACACCAAACCTCATCTCATTTCTTACACACTGTTCATCTTAACTTGTGCCCACCCAAACACCCCTTCCCCTCCCAACATACATAAGCACACATGGGAGCATGGGAGCGTGCACACACACCCACACACACACACACACACAAACACACACACACACAAACACACACACACACACACACACACACACACACACACACACACACACACACACACACACACTCACTCATGTGCATTCACAAACAAGTTTTCAAAATATAATTACCCAATACCTTGAAAAGCGAGCTCGTTTGATGGGGCAACGATAATTTTTTTTCCCTACCTTGTCTTTGTACTACATGAAACACCCTGAATTTACCTGAAATGGAAACTTTGAGGTAGGCAGCCCTGACAGAATGTGTCCAAGCCGCTGACAGCAGCTCACCGGCACAATGGTTCCGACCTTGAGCTACTTTGAGCGGCTTGCCGTAGATAAGGAGTTATCATAGCTTTTTTTTTGTTGTAGCTCATCTGTTTTTGAATTTTGGTGTGTTTGCTCATCTTTATTATTTCTATAGTTTTTTTTCCTTCTGAAATTTCTTGGTTCATGAAGCAAAATATAGAAACAATTTTATTATTTTTCCAGAGCTTTACTTTCAACATAGGAAGAAATAGAGTCAACGCACAAAAAAGCAATGATCGTATTCTGAAGATGATGATTACAATGACAGGGAGATGAGAGTGAAAGACAAAATATATGCCGCGAACAACCCATAGATATTTACAATCACAGTCAAGTAGTCGAAGGCTTTGTAGAAAATTTTATGAATAATATTTTGCGTTCAAGGTCATTTTTTGTTTTATGTTTTGATCTCCAGTTATAACAAGACAAATTTAAATTAAGCTCTTAATTTGGTAGTTTTTTTTCTCTCTGTATGACTTTAAAAGACTTTTATCACCTTTTGTTCCCCAGAATTCAAAGCCGTCAGCGAATTGTCGTTTTGATGTATTGAATCTACTGACGGCTTATGCTTTTGTTACTCGCCTTCACAACGGTTGCCATAATGAATGCCCTGTAGATAGCACCCAGGTATGTAGCTTTTAGAGACTGGATTGTATTTACCTTGTCTCAGAGTTGTTGGAAGTTGTCAGTATTTGGTGGTGAGTGAAATGTTGGTCGTGATCATGGCTTTAGACAGTTACTGTGCTCAGAAAGTTGAGTCAGGATAATGTGGTTTGTGCTTCACCAAAGTTAAATTGTTAAGTCAGAGAGTAGCTTTGGATCAGGACGATCCTGCTTCATTATTCCTCTGTTGCTCCTATATGTCTGCCCTGCTTTTTTCAAGACCATTGTCCTGAGAACTTGTTTCTTTTTTACTTGAAGCAAACAAAATTTTTGGTTTCAATGAGAGGTGTTGTGAAAGGTTTTTTCTGCTGCTTCTGTGGAGTACTACTCATGAAACATGTTGCGAAAGCTTCAGATTTGTACTTAAAGTCAAAGATTTTATCTCTGAACTATATAACTTTAATCAATGTAATGATATTTTAACCTTTTGTTTTGTTGCTTTACAAAATGATTTGGATTTTAGGGTTTCGGAGATCTTAATGAGCTGCTTGCACTTCCTGGGAAGCTGAGAATGTTTTTGAATCTTTTAAGGTCTGCTGGGGTAATAATATAGATTTTAAAGTGTGGATATGTGCTGTACAAGTACTACTTATTATTATTATTGTAATGCATGCCAGTCACTGTTCTGGAAAGGTTAGGAATTTGGAAGTGCCTTTATAGCTTTTTATAATTAGAAATCTAGAAACATTAGAAACCACATACTCAAGGAATTTTGTTCACTTGAAAAAACTAAGAAGGCGTAGTTGGAACAACACATAGAGTCTTTATTAAAATACTCTGAATTTTTTGTGTTTCGATTGCAGGACTTGATGGACACTTGTTTTGTTTTACAAGGGTCCTGTAGTTGTGGTAGTGTTGGGGAGGCAGTGCAAGCTGCAGTGGACGCAATAGTCAAGGTAACTCATGGAATCATTTTGTGTGTTTATGAAATTGTTCAGATTCTGGCCCATTTGGGCTTGAAAATTTCTGTCATATGAACTGTTTGACAACATTTCTATCTTATGAACTGTTTGACAACAGAACATGCAGCTTTGTTTTTGTAGTAAGTTGTTAAATTACTGAAGATTAGAGATATTTTTGCATGTGTGAGGTTGAAAACAAGGTAGAAGATGCTGTTGAATGAATTTTATATTTCTCCCAGTTAAAGATTGTTTGTAAGGCTTATTCTCTTTATTATTTGGCTATGAGCCCCATTTTTCGCTCTCTATTCTTTCGCTCTTGTTGTGTTGTTCAGCTTCAGGCCTGTCCATTTTGGGATGTTTTCCTCCCATATGTTTATCTGCCTGCCTTTTGTTATCTTTCCTCTGCTCTGCATTTCTGGATAGTCTTAGGGATCAGGTATGCACATAATTACAAAATTTAATGTAACCTATATGAAGTCATGTAATCAAAACTAAGTATCCTGCTTCACTAGTAACTAGCTTAGTTTTATCAAGACTCAATTATTGTAACTCCTTGTTATCAGGAATATCACTGGCGAAAGTTAAAGGACTTCAAACTATCCAAAACTATGCTGCACATTTAGTTTTACGGAAAAGAAAGCGAGACTCTGCTAAACCTCTTTTGCGGACATTGCATTGGCTTTCTGTTGAGAAAAGAATTGTGTACAAGTTTGCCGCCCATGTCACAAATGCTTGAATGATAATGCGCCAATTTTATCACATCTGTTAAGACTGTACATTCCAACTCGCAGTTTAAGTTCATCAGTTGACTTTTACCATCTATGAAACTTAAAACAATGGGTGAAAGGGCATTTGAAAATCAAGGCCCCGAGATCTGGAAAGCTTTGCCAAGTGCTTTAAGAGAGATCAAATCTTTTGATTCATTCAAATGTCAGCTGAAGTCATTTTTGTTTATAAATTAATAAGTGATTTTTTTTTTTTCAGTCAGAACTCGTTTTATGTAACTGTTGTACATTGTATTGTATTGTAAAGCGCTGAGAGCCTGTGTACTTTAATCGGGGTTGAGTGCTATATAAATGTCATTTATTATTATTTGTATTATTATTATTAAGTCAGTTGATCTTTTCTGTCTTTTGTTGGTAGTGTGCCTACCTAATATTAATATACAACAAAAATTCAATAACGTAGTGTTAGTTTGGTAACAGCTCTTTAAATGATCTTCGTGCATGTATTTTCAGAAGACAAAGGATTCAGAAAAATCTAGTAACAAGTTCAACATAGATTTGTTGAAAGATGTAAAGGTCCTCATATCAGGTCCTGGTAAAAACAACAACACGTCGTTTATGTCTGCTGCTCTGTCTGATGTGATCGGGATCTTACTGAATGCACAGAGTGTTATCAAAAAAGGTAATGCAGATAGAAAGTGGAGAGGAAATATCTTATTAAATGAATGTAGGCTCATTTTTTTCTGGAATTTTAAAGAAATTCTAGAAGTGTGAGGTATATTGAGTTGTTTTGTTTCACGGTTGCCTGTTTGTGCTCTTGTTCATGTTTGGGGTGTATTTATTTCTTTCTGTTCGGTGTATCGGTTTACCTGATACCCCTGTAATAGTGGGCGATTGGCGGATGCTCTGGTGTGGTTTCCTCCTTCTTTCCTGTCAAACATCTATCGTCGTTATCTCTCCTCCTTTTTTGTGCATGTTATTCTCTTGTAACACATCCATTCTTCAGCACTTATATGACCTTATTGTGTTGCAAGTGCCGTAAAACTCTTACTAAAACTAAACATTCCCCTGTAATAATACGTTTTTACTTCTTCCCACATGCTGCCTCATTTATCTTATCTTCCTGGTTGTGTGAGTGTATTTATTACTAAATGTCAGTGTCTGGCATTCACACCTGTAGTTGTTACGTTCTATTTTTTTGTTGTCCAAATCTGCTTCTAACACTTACATAATACAGCAGGTTGAGTCAGATTTGTCTGTTATAGCAAAGCAATTAGTTGCTTTTACCTTTCAGCTGTCATTTCCCTTTTCTCACATTCATTTTGTTTTATTATATTTTATGATTCAGTCTGATTAGTGTGGGTGGTTGGCCCGTGCTCTAGTGGGGTTTGCTCCTTCTTCTACCAAACATCTACTGACTTTATCTCTCCTCCATCTTTTCTTAACTTGTATGCTACTCAGTAGTAACCCCCCCCCCCCCCCCCCCGGTGCAGTGCCACTGACTGCAGTGTCTTTAGGCCATTCCCAAAGGGGGGACATTTCTCGTTCAAGTACAGTAGAATTGTAAATGGGCTGATTCATGTCTCGCTCATAACTGTGCCTGATCTACAACAGGGAACTGCTGCTTTTTCTCTCTTAATCCTTACTATTGTCATTATCCTCTACTTCTTTTGTATGTTTGTCACTCTCTTGTGACCCGCTATTTCCGGCATGCCTTGATAGTCGAAGCAGACCTTGTGCTGTTGAAGCTAGAGAGGTGAGCAGTCTAAGTCTGATTCCTTGTAAAGACTTCTCTGTTGACGCCCGCCCCTTGGCATTCATATGACATTATGCAGTTGCGAGTGCCGTAAAACCCTCTACTACAATAATAAATCAGTATAACACCTAATCTTTTGCTCTTATTTGACCTATTTATTTTGTAAAAAAATAAGAAAGCAAGTTTGAGTGGTTCTCAATTTTTACTACTGACCAGTGGTATCTGTGGCTGATCGTTCTGTGAGAACAAAAGTGATTGGGTGGTTGGCAGGTGCTCTGGTGTTGTTTGCTTCTACTTTCCTATCAAACGTCTATCGTCTATCTCCACTCCTCTTTTTGTGTTTGTTACTCTCTTGTAATACGTAATCTTCGGCACTTATATGACCTTATTGTTTTGCAAGTGCCGTAAAACTCTTACTAAAACTAAAACATAAGTGTTAAATCTTTCTTTTTTGAATCGTTGAAACTTACTTGTCATTTTGCTTTTGTACATTAGGGTCAGTATTTTCTGTGTGTTTCATTTCCTCAGAATTACGTGATAAAATACGAGAGGGCTGTGAAGATGTGGGCAATCTGAAGTCACAGAAGTCGTCATTGTTCAAGGCAGAGAGAAAAGTGTCCTTTTTACTGAGTTGGCTTCAACGTTATGGCATGGCTCTCCATCAGCTGGAACCCCTGTTGCAGTTTGAGATAGGTCCGCCATTACTTAAAAAAAAAATATATATATATAGCTTCACATAATGTACTTGATACGACAAACTGTCCTCTCCGCCTCTGAATGCTTGGCCTGATTGTCAAGGAATAATGATAGATTGTGGTCTCCGTATAGGTTGAGAGAATGTTAAGAACCAAATATATCTAATGGAAGTTATTCCCAATCTACTTTAGTGCTTCTTTGACACAAAAAGTCACGAGGAAGTCTCGAGAGTTAGCTTTTATGAGCTGGCTTTTGTTGCTGGCATCATGCATGCGCATCTTTTTACTGCATTTAAATAAAATTGTTCTTAGCTTCAGAATTTGTTTAACGGGAGACACTTCTAAGACAACAATACTGGCATCTGTGGTGTTACAGTTAGACACTTCACTGTTGCACACAGGAGACCAGAGTTTGATTCCTTAGGGGGGGGAGAGTTTTTATTGAGTACCTCAGTCTTTCTGTTGGTATGCTGTATCCCTCTCTTCCCGGGTTGGCTCTAACCAGTTTTGTAAAACCTGTCTCGAGCACAATTTTTGTTTCACAGACCTTCTGTAATTAGGATCACCAAACACTCAGAAATAGGCTTGCAAGTTTCAGAGACTGAAAAAACAAATTCTGAGAAATAATTATCGTAACACCACGCCTTGAAAATTTCTGAGAAAAAAAGCAACTAAACCCCACTTGTATGGCTTGTACTTTTAGGGTTTTTTCATTGTGCAAATGTGGGTACAGAATGCACCATCAAGGATGATTTTGTATCAGCATTCATAAAATTGGAAACATTAGCCTGTTCAGATGTATTTATTTTAATTTCTTGTGGGTTTGAGATCTAGTTTAGTGAGTTCAGAACATATTTATCTGTCTACTGATGACAAATGTTTAATAAATTGATATTTTAGTACCCACTTGACCTGTTGACGGATATGGTGGGCCTGACGAAAAAAATTGTTCTTCTTAAATCCAATATCATTTCATGCGTCAATTTATTTATAGTAAATTATACCGGAGCCTTAATGAGTATATATAATAACTTTCTCGTGAACTATGATTCATCAAGGTTCACGAAGTCCTAAGCCTGCTCTTGCCCACATATATAGTGAGAGAGATAATATTTACATATTATTTTCTTAAAAGGTTTCCATCACACTGCTTTCATGTTCACTGCTTTTTTTTTTGTCATTGGCATGCTGTTTACATTTCGGAAGTTAACCATGTTGAGAAGTTAGTCATGCTGGGAACTTAACATTTTAAAAAAGCATAAGAATGTGCTGAAGGACTGTAGACAGTGTAATATTCCTCTTTAGGTTCCTTTGACTTGAGCATTGTAGTTGTAGTTATGGATTATCATTTTACACTGCCCACTACCAGTTTTGCAACATGGCAGTGAAAAGTCTGAACTGATATTAGTAATTTTTGCAACGTTGTATCATCTGTCTTCCAGAAACTCGTGAATCGGAGGTAGAGGATGTAGAGGAGATCAAGTCTGCAGTGGAAAAAAATCTGGACAAGTTACGGCCTGCCATCACAGAGGACAAGACAAGCAAAGAGAATTCCTCTGGGAACTTGCAGGCAAAACTGATTGTTGAACTGGATTGAATGAGTGTTAAGTGCGGACTATCTGTGATTCATGAGGGCCTCATGTATATATATATTAGGGTCTGAGGGATTTCCGGTGCTGAAAAACATACTATATTAGAAACTGCATGCTCTGTAGACATTGAGTCCATTCCTTTTTCCACACCTTGCTTGTTCAAACCCTTTTGTCCTAGAGACTAGAAATTTCCCCAGTTCTTAAAAGCGTAGTGTCCCATCCGGTGGAAGTCTGGCTTCTCACTCTCCAAAAACGTGTTGAATTTGTCGACCACAGCTGGCAAAAGAAGAGTCCTAATTTTGTTTATATGAGAATAAAAGACCCCCAAGTGACTGCACATCTGTGAGGAAAAGAACACAATGCTCTGTATAAAAATTAAAAATGTTTGAGAATCAGTGCCACTCATAAATTCTTAAATCCATCAGTTTTAGTCTCTCAAGTATACTGTATACTTGCTAAAAAATACATGTCTAAAACAAGGATTATTTAGTCCCATAGTAACTTATATATCAAATGATGGGTTATCTGATCCACTGAAAAGCAGCTGATCTTATCAAATCCATGGAGTGGTAAGTGGCATTCCTAAAGGATGTTTTGCTACAAATTACGTCTGCTCATTCTGAAATAATCAGTTGTGGTAACTACTATTAAGATAGATGTTATGTAGTTTTGACACACTGCATATTAGTGTAATTCAGTATATTTGAAATGGAGAATTAAGTAAGAGAATGTTCAAGGGCTAAAATATTATACGGAAAAAAGAGGCCGGTAAGAATTTACAACACTTCCAACTAGAAATGGGTGTATAAGTGCGCAGGACTGAAGTTGGTTGTTTTCACGTTAGTTCATAGCATGGCTTGGTTTTACTTTTTGGGTGAAGCTGAAAATTCATGGTAGAAATTGAATGGTATAAACAGTCATTTACCTTTTTAAAATAGTACTGTCTGCATTTCTGATTAAAGACCATTGGTTTTTATGAAATCGAGTATTCTTTTTGGACCAAGAGTGGAGTATATATTCTTTAACCCTGTAGTGGGCAATTAGATTCACTAACAACACTTCCTTTATCATCTTGAATATCCTCTTCCTAAAAAGAATAAGATGGCCTAGTGGTTAGGCTACCTGACCCATAATAGTGAGATTGTGGATTTGGGTGTTTGAGCCTCAGCTTGGCCCGACGTTGTGTCCATGGTAAAGGCACTTTACACGAATTTCCCATCTGGTTTGGTCCTTTCGGAGATGGACGTTAAACTTGGAGGTCTCATCTCTTAACTAATATAGGTTAAACCTATACCATTTCACCACTTTCAAAAGAATTGGATGTTTCTGATTCCAGACTACTGATGTTGTCATCAGTGGAATACTCTTCATCTATTTTGAAAAACAGATAACTCTGATGAAATACGATAGGTGACAATATAAAATGTGACTAAAACCAACCCTTTTTGGCCATTAGAAAGTGAAACTAGAGTCACTCTGTCCCTTACCGACCGCCTTAAGCTTGTAGATGGAAGTCAGCATATCATAGCTCTCCAACGCCGAAAATAAAGCCAATGTTGCGAAATATTGGTGTCATTTGTACTAGATAGGCCTCAGGAGAGACCAGTTTGCCAGTGTGTACAATCTAAAAGTTTCTTATGTTAAATTGACATCAATTTCAGTATGCCAGGTGTTCACCCCATGCCGACCGGTCAATGCCGAGTCTGCCCCAACCCGTCCGTATTCTGCACACACATTCCTCTTGCTAGATACCAGAAACTAAATTTTCAAAGTAGCTATATGCAAAATTTATCTGTTCCATATATGAAAGGCCTATATCTCCTGAGAATTTTGGTACCATTCTTTAACCTCTCAGTTGATTTATAAGAAAATGGTACCTGTTTAAAATTTGGTTGAATTAGTTAAAGTCGCTCACTGGCTGCAACCTCATGTTCGACAGATAATAAAAGAGTAGGTACCAAGTGCCCCTAACATCTCCACATTAACAGAGTACAATCACTATAACCAAGGTACAGATCCTAATTTTTTTCAAGACTGTAAGATCATTACAAATCAGTATTTTATCGCCGCAAAAATGATGATCTGTCGTTATTCCAACAAAAACATTGAGCGTTGACCCGGCCGGCGCCCCACCAGCCCCCCGCGGTGAGCGAGTCAACCCTATACTGTAGTGTACCGAGGGCTCCCCGCGTGGGGGGTCACATGCTTTCCGAGTTTTGCAGAAGGATTGATGAAAAATAGTTCCTCGCCAATAACTTTATTCTACTAGAAAATGAACTGATCTTTCTATTGATACCTTTTTCAGCCGGTATTTTACATATTTCGTGTAAAAAATGATCTTTGAAAACTTTGACGGCATTTGTAAAGGCTTTCTATTTAAACGCCATAGGCCAAAAATATACCCCGGAAAAGCCCGTTCAAAGCTGTACAGTTCTCTGCCCATGAAAAGACGGTATTAATCATCAACCTTTCTGTGAAGCATTTGAATGCACGCGTGTCACTTTTTTAACCGTCCGACCTCGCGTTCTGACCCCGAGGGGCTTCACTTTCCACGGTGATTCTGCAGCTCTTTATAATTGGACATATAAACAGCTTACACCTTTGTAACAAGGAAAAGCGGAACCTTTATAGGGTGTACAGCATTTGGTGTTTTATAACGAAAGAGCATAGAAACAGCGATCTGAATTACCCCGATTTCACCGATACCCATGCGCTTGGAAGGCCGCGAGTGCCCGAGAGTGCCCGCGAGGCCGTGTTTACGCTACCTACTCTTGCACACAGCACCCAAATATGTACATGAAGCTTATATAATAAAATGACTTTACAACACAAGTAGATCAACACAACTTTAACTTTCATTCTATATGATAATAATAGAATTATTAACTAATAAAAAAAAACACACACAAAAAAGAGAGAAAAAAGTGGGAGAGGGGGTAGGGACTTTGAACAACTCTTTCATTTGAATTTTGGCATAGAACTCACATCACAGACAAAATGAAACTCGCTCAACTCTTCCTCACTCTTACTTTGAACCATCTTTCTTTGTTCACTCGTACCGTACACCCCCTATGAAACCATCGTTCAAACATATCACATCCAATCCATCCATCACGATCTTTGTCATCACCACAGGAAAAACACACACTGTCATCCGTCTCATATTCTCGACGTAACACTTCAAGGCATTCATCTCCCGAACTCCCATCCATGTAGACAACGTTGTTGGAATCTTCTGATTCTGTTGCCTCCTTTTCAGTGCTTGGTCTTTTCCCTTTCTTTCCTGCCTTGGCTCTTTCTCTCTCATCTTTCTTACCCTTCTTTTTTGCCTCTCTTTCTTCCTTTTTTCTCTGTTTCTCCGCTTCCCTTGCAGCATCTTTTTCTGCTTTCTTTTTCTCTCTTTCTGCCTTTTTCATCTCCAGCGCCGTTCTTATTTTCTGCCCCCTTGGCTTTTTTGTCATGAAAGTCCTTGAAACTTCTTCCAGAGACATACTTCGACGCCTGGATCTTTGGCGCCTTCCCAGTCTTGTAATACCAGTTTTTCAGTACGGGAAGATTATCAAAGGAAGCTGGAGGTACAATTGAATTGAACAGCTCCAGATACTTTTAAACATTTGTTTCATTTGGAGCAGGCTGAACATTTCTCCATTGTCTCCGTCTCAGCGCATACATTTTAGACAGGGACCAACCACAAGAGAGGACATGGTCAATCAGTTGGTCCTCTTTGAAACCTATGTCCAAACCATCATTGTACGCAAATTTTGGTGCAGCTTGTCCACTAAAATGAAAAAAAAAAAAGGAGACAGCATGAAAACTTAAGGTGAAGGTCTACAGTGAAAACTAAAAGCTAGACGGGTTACTTCCCATCTACTTACTTGTGATAACGATACTCCACTGAGGTTTTCTTCACATGTGGTACATTTCAATGTTAGAAAAATGCTTTGGTTGCCATGGAAATGGGAAAAAAACAACCGCCATCTTGGATTTTTAAAGTCTGTTTCAATGGAACATTTTTCATTTGGTATCCATCCAAGAGTCATGAAAGTTGGCACACATATTTTCATCGACATCAGACACATTTTGTCTCATTTTCTCTTCAATAAATGAATAGCTCTATTTTTTAACAAATTTTTGTAATTTGTGTATGTATATTACGCAATTATATGCCCTTCCATAACATAAAAAAATAATTAACAAAAAAAATTTGTAGCATATTTACAAATAAATGGGACAAAATGTGTATTTGATGCTAGTGGACACATGGTGTAAATTTGAAGTAAAAGTCACACAAACCTCATAGGAGATTTGTAACTTCAAATGCTGAAAAACTGTTTTTTGAGAAAATGAGCTTTTATTGCAAAAATGCACTTGCCTTTTGTTTTCATGTTGTTTACAGACTGAAAAAACAATTAAAAATGAGCCAGCAGCATAGCTTGGACTACCCTCAAGTTCTTCCAACTCCCTCTCCCTTCTTGTTCTTGCCATCTTCCTCAAAGACCTTCTTTTAGACAGTTTCTCCTCCTCATACCTTTGACTGCTAGCAATCCGCTTTGCTGCCCTTTGTGTCACCAAGCGAGCTGAACTGGTACCCTCTTTCTGTCCATACAGCCTCCTCACAACACTGCTACCTTTTTGGCCATGGTTGAACTCTGCAATGGCCACCGGCTTAGAAAACTTTACTTTTTTGGAAGAGGCAAACTTAGCCTTAGAGCATTTGCTCCATATGACACTATGAAGGCTTTCGTTGGCATTTTGAGTGGCATGACGCTGGCAACGAAGTAGTAGGTCAGTATCAGACAGCCTGTCATACACTGGCTTTAAATGTCCATGCAGAAGACTGTAATCCAATCTGGTCTTCACCATTTTGCGATGGGGGCCTGGCGTTCCTCCTTTTGCAATGGCTGCTCTATAAAAGCACCAGGATGCTTCGCCGGGTGGACAGTGGTCGTGCATGGGCTGTTCATCCGTGGAGTAGCCATGATGGATGGAGGCCAATATGGCAGTGTTCATGTCGTCTAAAGTATTTCCACCCCTCACTGCTCGGTCGTAATACTTTTGTAGTTTGTCTATGGCTTCTTTGGTGAGCCGCCCATACCCTTGGCCCCCCAGCCTAATGCCCCTCTTGCTGCAGTCACTGACCATGTTGCGAAGAGCAGTGCCAAGTCTCTTTGAAACATGGTTAATGCACTCCTCTTTCACTACAGGGTACAGTCCTAGCTGCTCTACTTTGGTGAATGCTTTTGCATCTCCATCCGAAAGCATGCTGGTGTATCTTAGATTGTACTGTGCAAGAGAGCGCTTCCACTGGATGACAGCTGCTTCCACCTCCATGTTCCCTGAGGTACCCTGATAGTTGATGCAGCAGTCTGCGTTGTGTTGGGCTAGCCATGTGTCGTACCGCTGGGCTTGATTAGCTTTCATCAGCCACTTGCCAGTTGTCTCACATGTTTGGCAATATGAAGACAGGAGCTCTGCATCAATTACAAAACCTGTAAGAATATCTATCACGCATCCAATTCCAACCCGCGATGTGTGGCCCCTCTTCATCCATGTACCATCGTAACTCACACAGATGTCAAGCACAGTCTCTGGCAAGAGGTTCCTGCATTGTAATTTGGCATGTTCAGAACGGACAATATCCACCACTCGCTTGAAACTTCACTTTGTTATACTCACAGTACAAACTGTCAGCATACTTTAGGAACGTTTTTTTGTGAAGTTCAGGCAAGTCCATATGCTCACACAACAGATTAAAACTGTCCGCCCCCATTCCTGCCATTACTGCTGCCATTATCACAGATTTGTTAATTGTGTGGGCACAGGGTCCTCTGCCAGCTGGTTCCCTTTCAGATGTAAAGGTTTGACTCACTGCCGCATCACAAGTTGAGCAGTAAATCTCCATACACAGTGAAAATCCTTTACTTTTGTCTTTGTTCACTCTGCTTGTCAATGTTTTCATCTTGCACACACCACAACACAAGTCTTT